CATCCTACCTTTTTCAACCAAAACAAAAAAAAGCTAGGATATGTACAGAGGAGAGTTTCTCTCTCCTCAATTAGTGTGTACAGAGGAGAGCTTCTGACAAGGGAGAAGAAGAAGGTAGTCTTACTATCTTCTTCTCCCTTATTTACACATACCAGATGAGAAGAAATCAGTAGGTTTAATGCTCAAGTCAGCTGGTCCTGGTTCTTGCGTTTGCTAGCGACAACTTTTTTTGCCAATGCCGAGTCATGCATAAGTTCCGATAGACATCGAGGCATTGACACATCATTCAAGAGACTTCGACTTGACAATGTAGACTATACAAGAGAGGTTTCTAGATGCATATCAGTACTTAGCAGAAATCCCACAGAAATACTGGGCATTGTCTCATGACTGTGGACACAGGTTTGGCATTTTGATAATCAATAGTTCTGAATCTTTCAACAATACACTAATGGGTTGTCGAATGTTACCTGTCACGGCTATTGCCCGACTGACTTTCGACAAATTAGTGGCTATGTTTCAAAACAGATGTTTTGCTGGTGAGTAATGCAACAAGATGGATTGTGTGGGCCAACCGATATTGATAAGTAGATGTCCACTCGGGAACTATTCAAGTATAATGCAACTATTCGCTCCTATAACAACCAAAGAGGGATATACGATATAGCACTTGAATCAACTTCCAATTCTTTAGGCCAGCGACGCTATGTTAAGGTAAATTTGACTAACCGGACATGTAGCTGTGGTCGTTGAGCTGTAGATGGCTTACCTTGTGCGCATGCCATTATAGAGGGACTGTCTCGGACTCCTTTGTGCCACAAGTCTTCTCGTTACATTATTACATAATGAGTTATGTAGAAGACTTGAATCCATTGCCGGATGACGAAGTTCAGCTGACCACAATACTCAGGTGCCCGTCGGAAACTCATAGATGTCAACAACGTAGAAGTCAATTTCCTAATGAACTGGACTTTGGTAGTCACCGTTGTTGATGACGATATGCCCTTTATGTAATCCATTGCTCCTTTGTTAATATGAATGTCATGAAAAATTACAATATAGTTGCACTAATAATTACACATTTATAATTATCAAGTTCACTGCAATACAAATAATAAAATAAATAAATAAATACATAATAAAAGTATTTAAAAATACGTTATTATTATCATGCAATCCATTGTGCTATAAATGACTATTTAATATTTTAAAATCATTGTTTATGTGATTATTGTTTTGAAAACTTTATTTTATTAATTAATATTTAATAAAATAATAATTTAGAAAAACAAATTCGAAGTAATTAAAATTGCAAGGGTTGTGTTCTAATTAAATATAGAATTAGGAATGATGCTTATCAAACCGTATCAATTCTTTAATTACTTTGAAGATCTTATAATCACATATATTAAACAAATTAATGGTGTTTGCAGCTCTAGTTAATTAATATATAAAATTGTATAGTAGTATAGAAGGCAATACTATTGCATTCTTCTTAACTCTAAAAAAAGAAAGTGAAAAGAAGGTAATGGCCATTGCCCTCTTTGTGGCATTTTCGGCCATAGTAGAAGATCTTGCAACAGTTCTTTGTTTCTTACAGACCCAAGACACAAGATTGGACCCAAGAAACATAGCATAACCACTAGTAGACTTACAATATCCAGGACAACCAACCCAATCAGAATCAAAAAGCATGAAGTTCTCTTGACACTGACTTTCTTATACGCAAACCAAAAGTAATTGTTCCTTTAACATACCTCAATTCACGTTAGTTGCTCCCAATGTGATATTGTAGGAGCACGCATATGCTGACACAACTGATTAACTGCAAAAGACAAGGCAGGTCATGTGATTGTGAGATATTGCAATGCCCCAGCCAGACTCCTGTACTGCGTAGGATCATCATACAAATATGCATTGAATGGAACAGATTTCGAGACAAGAATAGGAGTAGCTAGAGACTTGCATTCTGCCATACCAGCACGTTTTAAAATATATGTCATGTACCTCTGTTGAGAAAGTAATATTCCATCATCACATTTAACAGTTTCAATCCCAACGAAAAGCAAGGTTCATCAAGACTCCTAATCTTAAAAGTAGTAGACAATTTAGATAGTAAATTATTCACTAAATTCTTATCACTTCCCATCACAAGTATATCATCCACATAAACCAACAGATACACAGAAGCAGAATTCTACGAATAGTGAAATAATGACACATCTATCTTTGATGCCTTAAACCCAACTGACAGTAAAAACAACGTGTGTAGACGATTAAACCAAGCTTTAGGAGCTTGTTTTAAGCAATACATAGATCGTTTTAGCAGACAAACATGATGAGGGAACTAAGAATCAATATATCTAGGTGGCTGACGCATGTAGACAGTTTCAGTCAGATTACCTGTAACACCCCGTGTTACGGCCCCTAAAACCAATTAATCATTTAATCAATTACCCAAAAGAAAGGACTAAATTCCAAAAATTAATTAAGAAAAGGCCCACCATAGTCCATGGGCCCTTATCCCTAAACCCAATCCACTAGTTCTAGAAGGAATAGAACTAACCCTAATTAGGGACTCTTAGGTATATAAATAGGAGGCACCTAGAACCCACACCACAATAATCCCTCACCACACAAGAAGTTCCAAAAATCCCCCTAGGAGAAATCAAGAAAGAAGGAATCTTAAAGAAAGACCCTTCATAGACAAGGAAATTAATTAAGGCTAAGAGGTAACCAATGTCTCAACAAAACCTATTTTCCTTGCTATAATTATCTTCTTTGACCTCCTCTCTATACTTGTGTCTTGATGGATCGTTTATGATACTGATGATATGATCTTGATGACTGTGAGATGATTTTGTATGTATTCTTGATGATCTTGATGGTGATAAGAGGTTCTTGAGGATTACATGATGTTCTTGATGAATCTTGATGTTTTGATGATTAAAAGATGAACTATGATTTATTGATTTGAATATGATTAGAGCCCTAGGTTAAAATTGGGAATTTCGTATTGTGTTATTCTTGATATAACTGGGTGGGATTTCGCATGTTCGGGTGTTACTTATGCTTAGAAATCATGATAGGATATGTGATATTTGATTCTTGCTTTTGATCCGTTAATTGTCTACGTGGTGTCATAAATTGCGTTTAAAAGTGTCTAAGCCTGGTTTCGGGTTCCACAAAAGACCCCGGGACGTTTACTGTGATAAAGAGTCAGTGGGGGGTAGGTGGGGGTAGGGGAAACCCGCCACCTACCCGTTGCCCCATTCGGGCGTCGCCGGCAGCGGGCAGCCGGCGGGCAAGCGATTGCCTGCCGGGCACCCGCTGCCCGGATTCTCGCCGCCGGCGGGTGGTCCTCCACCCGCTGGTTTTCCCACATCGGGATGGTGGTTTCCCCGTTTGATGTTTCACCGACCCTCGTGGTGTCCCAACAGACTCCGTTTATCGTGCCTAAAGTCTGGTTTGATGTTTCGGGTACCATTCATAGGATAAATGAGTCTTATATATATCGCATGCTAGTTTAATTGGTAGCCCGTTGGCCTAGGTGAAAGAAGTATGAACCCCTTAGGATTATTCCTAGTACGTGGATGACCATGCATAGGTTTCATTATACGTTTTCTCCCCTTTTCCAATGTGTTAATATGGGTTGCATGTGCTTGTTATGTGTTATGTGTGCATGATACCCCAATTTGGTTGCGATCAAATTGGTTATTCCTGAGCTCGGTTCATAAGCTAGCTGCGGTCAGAATTACACTCTTGGGCTGTGGTCCACCGTTTGGTTGCGATCAAACGTTTTACATGAGCTGCGGTTCATATGCCTGGCTGCGGTCAGATGACTACTCTTGGGCTGCGGTCCACTGTTTGGTTGCAATCAAACATTATGATGAGCTGCGGTTCATCGGTCAGTTGCGATCGACCCCTTCGTATTGCGATACGAGGCAGGGTGCTGCGGGGCCGTGTCAGAGCTATATGCGCTGACCCTCATGTATGGGCATGCGATTGGTCCTGTGGCGCCACCAACGTGTGCTTGTGTGTGATGAGATACGAATTGGGATGATGATATATCTATGACCATAGGATATATGCTAGTATCTTTATATGCTTGATTATAACTGTTGAATGCGCTTATCTCTATCTGTCGAGTCTATTCTTGGTTTTAAAACTAGTGTCTCTTAAGTATATATCTTCCTGCTTCAAAATGGTTTTCATATATCTATATATATCTATCAATAATGTATTTCAACGCGTTGGGGTGGGTTACCAGCATCTCTCGCTGAACAGATATATTTGGCTTTCAGGCACAGAGAAGTAGACACTGGAGCGCGCTAGAGATTTGGAGCGTAGAGTAGATAGTTTCCCTTTCGGCCTGCGTGTCATGCTTATGTATTTACATTATCGAGGATATTAGTTGGTTAGCCTGTGCACCTGGGTTCTCTAGCCCAGGTGTGGCATAGCACCCCGTACTCTACTATATTATGTTTTGGGATTTAATGATTTACCTTTATTATATAAGTTTCAAAAGTTTTAAAATTTCGGGGTGTTACAGTTGGTATCAGAGCCTAAGTTTGACCCTAGGATAAAACCTCAAAGATCGGAGTTTAAGACATTAGGCTTGAACTCTAGGTATTTAAGTACATAGGACTTAGGAGACTTAAGACGCGTGGTGAGATTGTTAGTATACCCACCATCACATATCCCCCCTCACTCTTGTTTAAATTAAAAGAACTTCCCCTCCGCTTATCGCACCAAGGTGAGGGTACCAAACTCTAACTCGACATTACTATAAACATTGGCCCAGTAAAACAGCAGCATGGCACCAAACAGAATACAATCAAGGACTCCGGAACCCACCACACACGACCCCCTGACTCAAACCCTACAGCAACTAACACAAGTCGCCCAAACACTATGCGACGTAGCTCTCCGCAACAACAGACCCCCACCACCTCCGTCAAACACGAATTCGGAAGTCGCCCGACAAGTTTCAAATCATCGACCACCCACGTTCTCAGGGGAAGAAGATCCCGTAATCCTTGAAAAATGGATCCGGACCTTCGACAAGATTCTAGGATTGGTAGAATGCCCAGATGAACGTCGTGTAGAGATAGCCTCATTCTATTTCGGACACGAGGCAGACCTTTGGTGGATCCACGAGGGGCCCACTTACAGACAGGAACCAGGGTTCGACTGGGAAAACCTCAAAACACAACTACGAGAACGATTCTATCCAACACACGTAAAAGCATCCATGCACGAAGAGTTCCTCCACTTGAAACAAGGAACGACCACTGTCATGGAATACCATAAACGATTCCTCGAACTAGCACGCTTCGCACCAGAACTAGTCCCCACTGAGGCAACCAAAATAGAAAGGTTTGTATCGGGTCTCAACTTTGAAGCCCGAAAAGCACTAGTAGTAAGCAGACCCCGGACCCTCAACGAGGCTTACTCCAGTGCCGAAAATCTCTATCGGATCCAATTACTGCAACGAGGGGTTCAGGAAAAGATTCGAAAAAGGAACACCGGAGGTGGAGCACCACCGATGAAAAGAACGAGGAATGACGCCAAGACAAGACCAAGCAATCCAGTCGGCCAGAGGCCACCCCTAGGAAACAACGAAACTAACACAAGGGGCTTCCCTTGCCCAAAGTGCAACAGAAGCCATAGGGGCAGAGATTGCATGGGCAACCCCTGGCGATGCTTCAACTGCGGGGAAGAAGTGCACAAGGCCTTTCAATGCACTCAACCCCAGAAATCACGCCCCACCACCATGGGCCAACACGGGGGCACGAATCATCAAGGAAACTACAGTGCCCCCGGAAAGGTGTTCGTCATAAGCCGCACCCAGGCCGAACTCGAGAACGAAATCAACCACGAGGAAGGAAACGTGGCCTCAGGAGACGAGGGCCATGCAAACCCACTAGAAGAAAACCAAGAAGATGAATTCTGTTTAGGATGACTGGCAAATCTCTTGTAACCACCCTCATAGTAAATTACTTAGTTAGATTAGCTACTTCGGAATTTGTATAAATAAAGAGCTAAATCGAAATTAATTTTAGCGTAAGGTAAAAAGACTAGCTTATGCACATCAGACAACAAAAAGGGGACCAAACAAAAACAAAAAAAAAAACAAAAAAAAAAAAACCAAGTCTTCTACCACTAGAAGACGAAAGAAGGAAAAAGACGAGGGTCACACAATGAAAAAGACTAATGTCACCAATGGGAATTTAACCCTAGACCCCCCACTTGAAAACCCAAGTCCCTAACCACTAAGCCATGAGTGTTTCTTAAAACCTCAAGGGAACACTCCCTTCTTAAATCCCTACAAATCTCTAAAACCCACAAAAATCCCCAAATAAAAAACCCTTCTTCTTCTTCTTCCACATTCCCTCACCCTCTCTCTCTCCCTTCCTCTCCCTCTCACCTCCCCGCCGACCCAACGCCACCCCAGCAATCACCACTGCCCGTCGCCGCCACCAGCCGAGTTGCCGCCGTCCACCTAGGCGACGCACCACCGCACGCTACCGTCGCCACCCGGAAGCAACCCGCGACGCCACCACCGCCCGTCACCCACCCGAACACACCCCGCTGCCACACGCCTCACAACTGCCCGGCTCCGCCCAAGGCCACCGCCACCACGCCGAGCCATCGCCAGGACCTGGCCGCGCCGCCACCCGCTCGCTGTCGAGAAAGCAACGCCACCGGGAGCTCATCGGAGTCACGCCAGAGCCTCGCCAGAACTCTCGCCGGAAGATCATCGGAAAACACTACCCACCCAAAAATGCCGAAAAAGCCCCTCGGAACCCGCACCCCAGAATGGAGCAGCGCCGACTACACCGTGATTGGAGGTAAAGCTCTCGAACCCGACCAATTCTCTCTGGAGTTGGTCGACATGCTTAACTTCCAAGGGCTCTTGGATACGTATCTCACCATAAAAGGGGATACATACCCCGAATTGGTGAAAGAGTTCTATCGTCACTTGGTGGCCGTCAAGCGAGGTGATAAATTGGAAATCACCGCCAAGGTCCGAGGCAAGGAAATCATACTTTCCGAAGGCCGCTTGGCCAAGCTCTTAAAACTGACCACCATGGGTGTGTCAGACTACGACCGAAAGGGGTGGATCGGTACCCAAAACCTGGGGTACAAGGACTACCTCGGGTACCTACTTGGAGAGGAAGAAGGCTTCACCTCGGCCACTCGGCCAAACAGGAAATGGCTAACCGCAGAGCAAAAGATACTAGTCATAATTGTAACTGATAGCCTGTTGCCCACAAATAACAAGAGCAAAGATGTGGGAAGTTTGGAGTGTACTTTTGCTTACCTCCTAAAACACAAAATCAAGTTCAACCTACCGGCCCTCATGTTAAAACACATGGAGTTTTGCAAGACTAGTAACCGGCTTAGTCTACCTTACGGAATGATCCTGAGTTGGATCATGGAGAAGAAGGGAGTGGACCTGAGCCACACAGAAGTCAAGCCCGCAAGCGGCATGGTTTTCAATGCCCAGAACCTCCGTCGCAATGATATCTACTACACCGAGGGAGGACAGTATATCACCCTCGAGGAGATTTGCCTTAAACCCGAGGAGGAGCGAAGAGAGTTGGTTGACCGATTGGACATCTCCAACAAAAAGCTTAAACGGGCAATGCAACATTGTGGGGGACTAGAGGGAAACGAGGAACAGGAAAAGGATGACGAGCCTAATCCACCGGCACCCACACAAGCAGGAGGAAACTCAAGGGGACAAAACGAAGAGTCTGTCAACGAGCGCATCCTCGCACAGCTCACCCGGCAAAACCAAATCATGGACGAAGGGTTCTCGTCCCTAATCCACGCGACACGCGCTTTAGATCAGAGGGTGGCAGCAATCAAGACCATCCTGGGCACTCGCGGGGCATCCAGCTCGGGAGTAAGAAACCAAGGTAGACACGAACTTCCCAATCACCATGTCACTTTAAATCCAGTCTACCCCAGCAAGGACAACACATGGGGCCATGTTCCTAACCAGGAGGCCAAAATACGGAATGTCCAGGGGCGAAAGAGTGGGTTAACGCACCGGCTTCGGGGACGAAGCCTCTTGTAAGGGGGGGGGGGAGAGTGTAACACCCCGTGTTATAGCCCCTAAAACCAATTAATCATTTAATCAATTACCCAAAAGAAAGGACTAAATTCCAATAATTAATTAAGAAAAGGCCCACCATAGTCCGTGGGCCCTTATCCCTAAACCCAATCCCCTAGTCCTAGATGGAATAGAACTAACCCTAATTAGGGACTCTTAGGTATATAAATAGGAGGCACATAGAACCCACACCACAATAATCCCTCACCACACAACAAGTTCCAAAAATCCCCCTAGGAGAAATCAAGAAAGAAGGAATCTTAAAGAAAGACCCTTCATAGCCAAGGAAATTAATTAAGGCTAAGAGGTAACCCATGTCTCAACAAAACCTATTTTCCTTGCTATAATTATCTTCTTTGACCTCCTCTCTATACTTGTGTCCTGATGGATCGTTTATGATAATGATGATATGATCTTGATGATTGTGAGATGATTTTGTGTGTGTTCTTGATGATGATAAGAGGTTCTTGATGATTACATGATGTTCTTGATGAATCTTGATGTTTTTATGATTAAAAGATGAACTATGATTTATTGATTTGAATATGATTAGAGCCCTAGGTTAAAATTGGGAATTTCGTATTGAGTTATTCTTGATATAATTGGGTGGGATTTCGCATGTTTGGGTGTTAATTATGCTTAGAAATCATGATAGGATATGTGATATTTGATTCTTGCTTTTGATCCGTTAATTGTCTACGTGGTGTCATAAATTGCGTTTAAAAGTGTCTAAGCATGGTTTCGGGTTCCACAAAGGACCCCGGGACGTTTACTGTGATAAAGAGTCAGTGGGGGGTAGGGGAAACCCGCCACCTACCCGCTGCCCCATTCGGGCGTCGCCGGCAGCGGGTAGCCGGCGGGCAAGCGATTGCCCGCCGGGCACCCGTTGCCCGGATTCTCGCCGCTGGCAGGCAGCCGGCGGGTGGTCCTCCACCCGCCGGCCACCCGCTGGTTTTCCCACATCGGGATGGTGGTTTCCCCGTTTGATGTTTCCCCGACCCTCGTGGTCTCCCAACAGACTCCGTTTATCGTGCCTAAAGTCTAGTTTGATGTTTCGGGTACCATTCGTAGGATAAATGAGTCTTATATATATCGCATGCTAGTTGAATTGGTACCCCGTTGGCCTAGGTGAAGGAATTATGAACCCCTTAGGATTATTCCTAGTATGTGGATGACCACGCATAGGTTTCATTATACATTTTCTCCCCTTTCCCAATGTGTTAATATGGGTTGCATGTGCTTGTTGTGTGTTATGTGTGCATGATACCCCAATTTGGTTGCGATCAAATTGGTTATTCCTGAGCTGCGGTTCAGAAGCTGGCTGCGGTCAGGATTACACTCTTGGACTGCGGTCCACCGTTTGGTTGCGATCAAACGTTTTACATGAGCTGCGGTTCATATGCCTGGCTGCGGTCAGATGACTACTCTTGGGCTGCGGTCCACTGTTTGGTTGCGATCAAACATTATGATGAGCTGCGGTTCATCGGTCGGTTGCGATCGACCCCTTCGTATTGCGATACGAGGCAGGGTGCTGCGGGGCCGTGTCAGAGCTATATGCGCTGACCCTCATGTATGGGCATGCGATTGGTCCTGTGGCGCCACCAAAGTGTGCTTGTGTGTGATGAGATACGAATTGGGATGATGATATATCTGTGACCATAGGATATATGCTAGTACCTTTATATGCTTGATTATAACTGTTGAATGCGCTTATCTCTATCTGTCGAGTCTATTCTTGGTTTTAAAACTAGTGTCTCTTAAGTATATATCTTCCTGCTTCAAAATGGTTTTCATATATCTATATATATCTATCTATAATGTATTTCAACGCGTTGGAGTGGGTTACCAGCATCTCTCGCTGAACAGATATTTTTGGCTTTCAGGCACAGAGAAGTAGACACTGGAGCGCGCTAGAGATTTGGAGCGTAGAGTAGATAGTTTCCCTTTCGGCCTGCGTGCCATGCTTATGTATTTACATTATCGAGGATATTAGTTGGTTAGCCTGTGCACCTGGGTTCTCTAGCTCAGGTGTGGCATAGCACCTCGTACTCTACTATATTATGTTTTGTGATTTAATGAGGATTTACCTTTATTATATAAGTTTCAAAAGTTTCAAAATTTCGGAGTGTTACATTACCATTTAAGAAAGCATTATGAACATCAAGCTGTCTAATAACTCAACCAGAGGATAAAGCCAAAGATAAAAGTAACCTGACAGTAGTGGGCTTTACCACTGGACTAAATGTATCAAAGAAATCCTATCCAAGAATCTGATTGAACCCTTTTGCTACTAACCTTCCCTTATGTCTTTCAATTGAACCAGTAACCTTCAGTTTAGTAAGAAAGACCCACTTACACCAATAACATTCATATCTGATCGAGAAGGAATTAGGCACCATCTCTGATTCTATAGAAGAACATTGAACTCTTGATCCATTGTCCCACGCCACTCGGGATACTTAACTACCTGTGTATAACAAGTGGGCTCAAAAAGATAAACATGTGCAGTTAGGACCGCCGGAGGAGCACGAGACCGACCCCTTGTGGTCATGGCATCAATCAGTGTGGTTGGCTTTATAGAGCGGCCATGTGGACGGCCACGTGCCCGTGTAGTAGCTGCCACATGAGCTGTCGAAACCTGCTGTACAGAGTCCACAGGTACAGTTGACGTGTAATGACATGGCTACAAAACGGATTCATCCCATGGATGAGCCTGTGGAACTGGAGGTGCCTTCAAAACAGCCTTAGTAGCAAAGAGAAAAAATTCCTCATCAAACCGGACATACCTACAAATATATATCTTATTCGTCTGTAAGTCCATGCACCTATACCCCCAAAAAGAGTCAGGATAACCTAAGAAGACGCAAGGAGAAGATAAGTAAGACATTTTATGACGATTGTAAGGTCTCAGGTGAGGATAGCATAGAAAACCAAAGACACGAAGAAAAGAATAAGATAGAGGAGATTTATGTAGCATAAGATGAGGACTGGAATTATTCAAGACATTGGATGGCATTCTGTTTATCAAATAGATAGTAGTTTCAAAGCAAAATCCCAAAACCTATATGGAAAAAAGGCATGAGCCAAGAGAGTTAATCTAATTTAAACAATATGCCTATGTTTTATTTCAACACGACCATTCTGTTTGTGAGTATACGCACAAGATTGTATATGATTAATACCTAATTGCAGTAACAAAGAATCTAACTTTTTATACTCAGCACCCAAATAAAACTGCATAGCTTTTATTTTACGAGAAAGTGAACGCTTGACCATGACACGGAAACGCTAAAAAATATCATGTAGATAAGATTTTAAGCGCATTGGAAAAAACCATGTAAAACGAGAGTGGTCATCCACAAATATAATAAAGGAACGATATCCACTAGATGAAAAAATTGGAGCAGGACCCCAAATATCAATGTAAACTAAATCAAGAATGCTAGAACGAGAAGACTCAACACGTGGCAAGGAAAAACGTGAAGATTTTCGCAACTAGCATCCATAACACAACAAAGTATCACTAAGAGACTTACTAGACCCATCAGCCGAACAAGACTGCAAAACACAACTAAGAAGACGCTGATGTGGATAACCAAGACGGTTGTGCCAGACTAAAGCAGAATCTCGTTCTGACAGGAATGCAGATGGAGTAGAACGAGACACCGGCATGGAGCAGAGCCCACCAGAACTATTGCCCTGAAATAGCACCGCCTTGGTGTCGATATCCTTCACAACAAAGATAGAAGGGTGAAACTCAAAGAATACTTGATTATCAGAAGTAAAACACTGCATAGAAATTAAAGAGGTAGACAAGCCAAGGACATGCAAAATATTATACATCTTAAAAGACCTAGAAGGGGTATCAAAAATAGCATGACCAACATGACTAATAGACAGGCTCATACCATCACCGACACATAAAGTGTCATTACCTGTGTACTTTTCCGAGGTAGAAAGGGCAGCTAAGTTTGGAGTTGCATGATTTGTGGCTCCAGTGTCCAGAACCCAAGTATGAGTATATGACGAGGTTTTAGCACCCAAACCATCCTAAAACACTGAATTAGCCTAAGAACCCAAAGCCCCTAAATTACACGGAAAACAATTGGCTCCCGTGTGACACTGCACATTAACCACGTCTGCCACACTGCTCGCTAGGAAGACCAGTCGCATGCCTCTTCGAATGGATAGACGTCTTCGCCGCTTCTATATCTCATCCAAGCACAATACCGCATGGAAGGAAAAGGCGAGAAGAGGACAACGACGAAAGGCCTCACACAGTGCACGCACTGGCAAATACTTCTACGGTTTTTGAATTTTGATTCCCTTAATTTGATTTCGTTTTGTTAGTTCTCAATTCGAAGTCTTCAATAATGTCAACAATGCAGAAGCAGCTTAATCCTCTATTGTATACAACACACCCTTAGTGATGACACGCATAAATTCTTGAATCTTGCGGGTACACGGATTAATGCAATTTTGCTTTTCAATCACAAGGGGACTACCTAGATTTGATAGTTGAGGAAAAAACCCTAGCTAACTTGATACCAAATGAAAACTGAATGAATTGTATTGAATAAAACTTGATTACAAAGATACAAGATACAGTAATATATATAATGAGGGAATTAGAGACTAGAATAGGGAGTCATAGTCTAACTCAAATACATAGAGTCCTAATACGGGTAACCTACCACTACTACCGTTGTCGTCACATCTAACCGACCACCACCGTTGTTATTGTCGACTGGTCAACGCCGCCTCACACTCCTTCCTATCAACGCAACGTCACTTTCTTCCTAGAAGTTGCATTAGTTAAATCATTGCATAAGGGTAAGCATCATTACCTATACTTGCATTGGATCACTATATAAAATTTAAGAAAGAAGTTGCATTGATTACATCATAATGAAATCTAATGAGATTTGAGGGGCATGATCAAATTATACTAACAAATAGAGATTATTAACTATGATAAATTTTAAATAAGAAATAAAGAAATAGCTTATATTTACATTAAACATTCTCAAAATTGAAAAAAAAAAAATAAACAAACAAACAAACAAACAAACAAAATCTTGATATTTCCAACTATGGTAACACAGTCAGGGGCGGATCTACAGTGGGGGCAGTTGCCCCCACTCCCCCCACCCCCACTCCATATATAACCCGTGTATGTATATATGTATATATAGTACAAGGTTTAGTATATGTAAAATAAAACAGGTAATGGTAATAAGAAATGAGTTAGTTGAAATGGAAAAACATGCATGTGTTTTAGAGAAAAACTAGGGTTCGAATCATTTCTTATTCCTTGAATGCAATTTTCAATTTTTATGGCTTTCAATAATAGTGGCTTCATGCGTGTTGCCTTGACAAAGGCCAGGGTTCGAATCCTTTCTTATTCCTTGAACACAGTTTTCAATGGCTTCAACAGTCTTCAATTTTTATGGCTTTGAATAATAGTGGCTTCAACAGTCTTATTAATGGTGAGGCTTTCAAAACAAAAACTAATGGTGAGATTTTTACACACATATATATACTTTTATATTAATAATAATGAGATGTGTTTTCTATTAGAATTATTTTATCAAATTAAGTATGTTTCCCATTTTGTTATAAATATTTTTAAAAAATTTTGATGTGTTTTATTTTTCGCTCATATTTAACAATATTTATGCCTAACTTTTAAGTGTTACATTTTTTTAAGCTATCCCTTTTATTTTAATATTCTGCCCCCACTGAAAAAAAATTCTGGATCCGCCACTGAACACAATAACCATGACCAATGTTCTACTTCCGGTTTGGAACCAACTGTTCCGGTATGATCGTCGGTTTTAATCGGAAATTATTTTAATTATATGTTCTATTTTAAAAATGATATAAATTCAACAACTAATTTTTTCCTAAAGATTTTTTTAAAAAAATAATGGCTATATCAATATTTAAACTTTAATGTTAAACTAAAAATAAATAAAAATAATTTTAGACTTGCACTCTAATTATACCAAGATTAAGTTGCCTACGTATTGTATAAAAATTTCAATAAGAATCAAAGCTCACGACATTCTCTTACCTTCTTTTTTGTTGTCTTTTTTAAGATTTATTTGGTTCCCCTTTGGTAGCAAACTTGAACTTCGATTGATTGTGGAATCATTCTTGAATGAGTATTGTCAAACATGTTTCCACGTACCCTAAATTCCTGTTCTACTGTCACATTAGAAATTCCAAAAATTTGTTTTTCTATAATAGATAAAATAGGGGAAAAAATTTAATACCCATTCCACCACTGCAAAACATCAACATCACCATCATTATCCAAAAAATATAACATCTGTATTTAAATAAATTTTTGTCTCGAATAATGCTAAAGATGAGAATGAACCTGTCCCGATTGTTCAACGACTTTTACCCCGCTCTAGCTAACATAATAGATAGGTGAAATTCTCGACTACTTTTAGATGATTGAGAGCTCTCAAACTGCTCCAAGAAGACATACTAATATTCATTGAAGGACCATAAACCGGTAAATACTCTTCAGACAATCTATGAAATAAAGTTGTTATTTCATTATTTAAAGAAGTAATATAATATAATCAAGGTCTGCATGATCAACTAATTCTAAATATTCATAATAATTTTGTAAAAACATACTTAAACCTATTAATTTGTAACCAGATCAAAACACATTGCACTTAAATAAATTAAAGTACAATTTCTATAATATTCTAAGAAGTTTTGTTTAATACATAAAATAGCATTAGAAAATATAAGATCATCATGAAATTCATAAAGTTTACCAACAATATTTACAACATAAATTAAAAATAAATGTGTTGTTGGATAATATACACCCGACAAAGCCAAAGTTGCATCATTTTTTTTTTTTTAATAATTCACAAATTTTTGTACAAGTATCCTAGTGTTGCATAAATAAATAAATTTCATTGTTATTTGAAAAAAAAAAAAACATAACAATTCTTTATATTGAATAGTACTAAAAAAAATTAATACTAAAATTCCAACGAGTTGGTATATCATGAGAAAATCTTTTAGGGACATTATTTCTTTTACAAAATCTACTAAATTATTTTTTTAACGTTTGGATGTTTTCACAAATAAACAACTGCATCTATAATTGGTTTAATACACTTAATAAGTGAAACCAATCAAGATTGGACACAACAATTTAACACGCGACATACACATCTTTGATGTAAAAATTTAGAGTTAATTATCGAAATGGTCCCTTGACTATAGTGAAATTATCAATTTGGTCCTCAACTTTATAATTCTTTTCTATATGACTTTGGTTGTCTTTGTTATCCTCATTTGAGACTATATAATCGTCATAAAATGAGTTATAGGTCTTCACCATGTGTCTTTTTAGGTTGTCCAAAGTCTTTTCGGGGGTATAGGTGCATGGACTTACACACTAATAAGATCTATATTTGCAGGCATGTACGGTTTGATGAGACAGTTTTTCCTTTTTCTACTAAGACTGTTTTGCAGGCACCCTCAGTTCCACATTCTCGTCCCTGGGATGTGTCTACTTTGCAATCTTATTTTGTCACTCCGAACTCTGCTCCAACAGCTCCTACAGTTCGACCATCACGCGTCTGTACCTCAAAGCCCACGACACGGACCCATGCCATGGTCACTAGGAGCATGACTCTGTTGTTCTTGCAGTTCTAACTGCTCAGGTTTGTCCTTCTTAACCTACTTGTTATACACAGGCTGTCAAGTATCCCGAATGGCGTGTGGCTATGGTCCAGGAATCCAATGCTCTTCTTCAGAATCAGACATGGTGTTTAGTTTCTTTTCGTCCTAGCATTAATGTAATTGGATGCAAGTGGGTCTTTTGCAAAAAAAATGAAGGTTGATAGATGGTTCAATTAAGTATCACAAGGCTCGTTTAGTGGCAAAGGGGTTCAATCAGGTTCCTTGTCAGGACTTCTTCGATACATTCAGTCCAGTGGTTAAACCCACAACTGTCAAGTTACTTTTTTCCTTAGCTTTGTCTTCTGGTTGGCTCATTTGTCAATTAGATGTGCACAATGTTTTTCTGAATGGTAACTTGGCTGAGAATGTGTATATGCGTCAACCCCCAAGATATACTGATGAGCAGTTCCATAATCATGTTTGCTTGTTGAAGCATTCTCTGTATGGTCTGGGAGCTTGGTTTCACCGTCTATATTTCTTATTGTTGTCAGTTGTTTTCAAGGCATCAAAGACAGATGTTTCTTTATTTTATTACTCACAGGATTCTACTTATGTTTATCTGCTAGTATATGTTGATGATATCCTTGTTATAGGTAGTGATCAGAATCTGGTGAATATGTTGTTACCTAAGTTGTCTGCCGCTTTTAAGATTAGGGAACTTAGTAAACTTGGTTTTTTTCTTGGTATTGAAATTGTAAAGCAGGATGATGGACTATTAATTTCCCAGCAACGGTATATGACTAATATACAAAATCGTGATAGTATGTCAGACTGCAGACCACTTGCCACTCTCATTCCTGTTTCAAAATCACTACCTACTTGCACAGATTTATATGATGATCCTAATCAGTACAGGAGCTTATGTAACACCCCGTGTTACGGCCTTCAAACTCGAATTAATTATTAAATTAATTCCGTTAATTAAAATAATTAAAAATGATTTAATCCAATTATAATTCTCTTAATTAAATTATGCAGCCCTCAATGGATCGTGAACCTTTGCCTGAACCAGAACCTTAAGCCCGTAAGGAATAAGGAAAGTGGGCTTTACCATCCAGACCCTGAATAGGTTTTCCCTTAGACATATAAATAGAATATTATGAAGCAGTTAGAACCCTCCTCATATCTCTCTTACTCGAAATTACCTCTCAAGAGATCCAGCCAAGGAATTCCCCCACCATCAAGCTTAGGAAGATCGACTGGGAGAAAAATCTTAGGAAAGAACCTTAGTAGCCGAGGAAATCGATTAGGGCTAAGAGGTAATTCATGTCTTACAAAACCTATTTTCCTTGCTATCTTTTATTGATTGGCTCCGATTGAATGATTGATTGTGTGATTTTGTATGTATATCTTGTTAGAGTTTGTCTTTAGGTTTATATGGTGAATTATTGTTATTCTTGATATTCTTGATGGCCCTGTGTGGTTATTGATATGATCTTGTATTTAGTTATGTCTAGAGCTTGTCCCTAGGGTTTATATCGTGAATCTCGTGTTGTGATGTTCTTGGTATTCTTGGGTGGGTTTATGCATGCTTGAGTGTTGACTCTAGTCTAGGACTTGTCTCAAGGGTTTTGCATGTAGATTTCTTGATGTTTTGAGGTTCCGGATGCTCCTGAATCGTTATGTGGATGATGTCAAGTCTTGGCATGTTTTGGAATCGTGTTAGAATGTAATTGACGTGATTCTTGGTTTAATCCTCGTTAATTGATTCTGTGATGTTGTTGCTACGTGTTGGGATGTGTTGGACATGGTTTAGGGTTCCACGAACGAACCCCGAACCGGACAATTACCCTCGTACCAGTGGGGGGTAGGTGGGGGGACGTGTCCCCACCACCTACCCGCGGTGAACTGCCCGTGATTCCAGCGGGCAGACGACTGCCCGCCGGGCACCCGCTGGAATATGGACGCCCACCGGCGAGTGGCTGCGGGTGGTCCTCCACCCACTACCCACCCGCTGGAAAGTGGTGACGTGACGGGTTATTCCCCCCCCCCCCCCCCCCCCCCCCCCCCCCCCGATTGTTGTTTCCTTGTGTCCCGTTGTACCCCGTTTGATGTTTATGAGTCTCGTATGATGTTTTGAGTACTGTTCTAGGAATTTACGTGTAGTGTATCATCTGTTATTGTACCTTGATTGTTGTTGTTGATTATATGTTGATTGATTGAATGATGATGGGTGTTGTGATAATTGCGCACTGATGGTTGAGATTGTGATTGGTGGAAATGAATTGTTGGCAGATAGAACAAACAAGTGCTCGGTTATCGTGCTAAAGGCACGGACCACCCCTTAGACTTGCTGGCTAAAGGCTTGGGTCAGGGTATAAGCGCCGCGGTGCCATGTCAGAGCTATATGCGTTGACCCCTTGGTAGTGGTGCTAGAGGCACGGACCTTGCGAATGGTACTTCGGTGCTACCATGTTGGTGGACTTATTGGTGGTTACGGAGTGGGGCATGTAGTTGCTCCGGAGGGATAAGGGAGGCGATATAAGGGTGGCCTGGAGGTACAAGTTAGAACTGATAAAAGGATGGAGAGGAGTAAAGGTTGGAACTTGGTATAAGGCTGGAGGATGGATTGTGTGCTTGATGATTACTTGCTAACTGATTGTCATTGGATCTCATTGTTGCCTTTAATTTCTATTTATGAGCTTACTTGTCTATTATACCTTGTCTTGTACTCTTAGGATGCATGCTAGTCTTTATGATCGTTCTATAGTGTCAAGTCTGTTGTTGTGTCTTGAGTCTTGATCTTGGTTTAAAACTAGAGTTGCTTAGGTTATATATGTATTCCGGTTTCAAAATGATTTTCTTATACCTACCTATACTGTACTTAACGTGTGTGAGTGGGTTACCAGCATTCTTCGCTGACGGTTGCTACGACATGTTTTTCAGGTGACAATCAGTAGCTAAGGAGCGAGCTAGTCGGAATTGTAGCCTTAGTTTAGTTAGTACTGGTACTGATGATGACCTGCATGCCTTGGCTTGTGTTTTGGACTCATGAATCTTGTGTACTAGTTAGTTTAACCTATGCACCTAGGTTCTCAAACCTAGGTGTGGCATAGCATCCCGACTCTCATGAATAGTTTATGCTCTGCTCGGATGTTTAATAATAAATTATGTTATTTATATGAGCTTTTAAATGTTTTAAAAATTAGGGGTGTTACAGCTTAGCTGGGGCATTGCAATATCTGACTATTACGCATCCTGACTTGTCATTTGCTGTAGATCAGCTCTGCCAACACATGCATGCTCCCACGGTGTCACATTGGGATCAACTGAAGCGTGTACTGAGGTATGTCAAAGGTACTATCACTTATGACTTGCGCATACGTAAATCTGTGGCAAATGATCTTCATTCTTTCTCGGATTCTGACTGGGTTGGATGCCTTGAATTGAAGATCGTAAGTCCACTAGTGGTTATGCTGTCTTTCTTGGGTCAAATCCTGTTTCTTGAATTTGTAAGAAACAAAGGATTGTGGCTTGGTCTTCTACTGAGGCTGAATACAAGGCTCTAGCAGATGTGTTTGCTGGTGATATACAAGTTAATTTTATTTCTACCAAAGATCAACATACAGATATATTTACTAAAGAAGTTCTTCCTAGTCCCAAGTTTTCTCTTTTTAGAGACAAACTACAGGTTACTAGTCTACCCTATGCTTAAAGAAGAGTATTAGGACTCTACGTTTCTAATCATTCACTCCGAGAGGCACGGGAGCTGGCCTAGAGGGAATAATCACTTGTGGGAATCGAACCCGGGTTATCCCAGAATTCTCCCCACAAAGGTCAACTTGCAGATATATTTACTAAAGTTCTTCCTAGTTCCAAGTTTTCTTTTCTTAGAGACAAGCTACATGTTACTAGTCTACCCTATGCTTAAAGGAGAGTATTAGGACTCTACATTTCTAATCGTATTGGTTCTATGTGTCCTAGCTAAATCTGCTAAAAATAAACATAGTTAAAGGACTAAATTGTTAGTTTTAAAAGTCAAGTATCAAAATTAACACACCCCCTATAGTTATAGGACCAAAAGTGTGATTTTCTCTCTCTCTCTCTCTCTCTCTCTCTCTCTCTCTCTCTCGTCGTGTAAAGGTTGGCACACTACTATTGAATAATATAGATCGTAAACGTGTAGGGCTTTTTTATTTTAATTCGTTTCTTCCATTCCCGCGCGCCGCACCTTTCATTCTCTTCGATCACGACGTCGTCTTCATCCATTGTAGCCCGTCTACAGCACCGTTTTCGATCACGACGCCGTCTTCGCCGGTCACGCCCTTGTCGTCGTGGTTTCTCTTCTCGCCATCGCCAGTCACACAGCTCCAGTGCCCTGAGTGAGATAGTGTGAAAGCTTCGTTACTTCTCTACTCGTCGTTGCCGTCGCTTCTCTTCTCTCTTCTCGCGGTGGCTGTCGTCTTGCCCTCGCCCTCGCCATCGCATCGCCGGCGCCGGCGCATGGTACGGCCTTAATTTTATTATATATATATATATATATATATATATATATATATATATATATATATATATATATATATATATATATATATATATATATATATACACACACACACACACACATATATTTGGTGTTGTTTGAATTTAATGAAATTACACAACTAGTGTTAAAATTGTTATATGAGTTGTATGAATTTAATGAATTGTTTTTATGAACCCTAGTTTTATGAATTTAAAGGAGTAGTATGAACCCTAGTTTTATTAATTTAAATTATTATGAACCCTAGTTTTATGAATTTAAATTAGTATATATGAATCCTAGTTTTATTAATTTAAATTAGTATGAACCCTAGTTTTATGAATTTAAATGAGTAGTATGAACCCTATTTTTGTTAATTTAAATTAGTATGAACCCTAGTTTTATGAATTTAAATGAGTAGTATGAACCCTAGTTATATTAATTTAAATGAGTGTGAACCCTAGTTTTATTAATTTAAATGAGTAGTGTGAACCCTAGTTTTATTAATTTAAATGAGTAGTATGAACCCTAGTTTTATTAATTTAAATTAGTATGAACCCTAGTTTTATAAATTTAAATTAGTATGAACCCTAGTTTTAATGTTTTCGATTATCAATTTGTTTTAATAGCTAATTAATTTAATGTTTTAGGAAGTCTGTTTTTAATGGACAAGAGTTGGATAAATGCATCTCGTATGAGCAATGAGTATGAAGATGGGGTTAAACAGTTTTTAGAATTTGCAAACAAGAATCTTCCTAACAATTGCGGGAAGTTCCCTTTGTTCGTATAAGAAGTGTTGTAATGGTAGTATTTTTGATAGAAAAGATATATTCGACGATTTAGTTTGTAATGGATTTAATCCACTGTATACAAAATGGATATGGCATGGAGAAGATTTGTCAAATGCGTCTAGCACTTGCGTTGAGACCGAAGGATATGAAGATGAGGATACAGATAATCGATTAGAAGATATGATTCGTGATGTTGGAGAGGAGTTCATTAATCGATCAAAAGAGTTGAATACCTTATAAGTGATGCAGAGAAACCTTTGTGGCTGGGTTGCAATGAATATACACATTATCCGTTGTGTTAAAACTATTCAACTTAAAAACTGGGAATGGGTGGAGCGATAAGAGTTTTACGGCCTTACTTGAGATTTTAACCGATATGTTCCTGGATAAACTTCCGAAAACTACATATGAAGCCAAAAAGATTGTGTTCCCTATGGGTATGGGATATAAAAAAAAATACATGCTTGTCGTAATGATTGTGTACTGTTTAGAAAAAAACACAAAGCGTTGCATGTTTGTCCAATATGTGGGGCATCTCGTTACAAAGAAAGAAATGACATTGATGGTAATGTGAACAAGAATGGGCCACCGGTTAAAGTACTGTGGTATCTTCCAATTATTCCAAGACTTAAACGTCTGTTTGCAAATCCAAGTGATGTTAAACACTTAACGTGGCATGCAGATCAAAAAGTTTCTGATGGGAAGATTCGACACCCCGTAGATTCTCTTCAATGGAAAACAATTGATAATACATTTCCTGAATTTGGCCATGACGCAAGAAATCTTAGACTTGGACTTTGTACCGATGGAATTAATCACACGGTATTCTTAGTAGTAAGCACAACTCGTGGCCTGTTATGTTGGTGATTTACATTCTACCTCCTTGGCTATGTATGAAATGCAAGTATATACTTTTGTCTTTGATGATTTCTGGACCAAAACAACCGGGGAATGACATAGACATCTTTTTGGCACCTTTGATTGATGATTTAAAAAAGTTGTGGGATGAAGGTGTAGTAGTATTTGATGCATATTGAAAAGAGTCATTTAAGTTGCGTGCCATGATCTTCTGCACAATAAATGACTTCCCTACTTATGGTAATTTGTCTGGGTATAGTGTTAAAGGGCATAAAGCATGTCCTATATGTGAATAGGATACATGTTATCAACAACTTGTTCATGGAAAAAAGACAGTCTACATGAGTCATCGGAGATTTGTTGATAGATTCCACCCTTATCGGAGATTAAAGAGGGCTTTCAATGGGTTGCAAGACCTATCTGATCCTCCATGTGCACTAACTGGATGCAGGCTTATGAACGAGTCAAAAATTTAAATGTTATTTTTGGAAAGGTTCAAAAGCATAAATCTCAAAAAGGCAAGAGGCAAAATAAATTTAATGTTGAAATACATCTAGCTGAAAAGAGTCCATGGAAAAAAAATAAATCAATATTCTTTGATCTTCCATATTGGGAGTTGTTAGATTAGACTTTGTGGAAATGGGTATACGACCAATTAGCTCCACACTCAATGGAGAAGAAGACATACTTGCCTCCAGCTGCCTATACTCTGTCAAGAAATGAAAAAAAAAATCTATAATTGTTTACATGGAATTAAGGTCCCACAATGGTATTCATCAAACATCAAAAGGCTTGTGAACCTCCAAGATTTAAAATTGGTGGGGTTGAAATCTCATGACTGTCATGCCTTAATGCAACATCTATTGCCGATGGCTGTTAAAGCTGTCTTGCCTAAAAAGTTGAGACACACAATTATAAGACTTTATTTCTTCTTCAATGCAATTTGTGGGAATGTTATTAACCCTGAAACATTAGATGAATTGAAGAATGGAATTGTTATTACATTATGCCAATTAGAGATGTACTTCCCACCTTCCTTTTTTTTATATAATGGTTCATTTACTTGTCCACTTGGTGAGAGAGATCAGGCAATGTGGTCCGGCTTACTTGAGGTGGATGTACCTGTTTGAACGTTACATGAAAGTTCTAAAAGGGTATGTCAGGAATCGATATAGGCCAGAAGCATCTATTGTTGAAAGCTATGTAGCTAAAGATGTTGTTGAATTCTGTACCGAATACTTGGCAGGTGTAGAACCTATTGCCGTCTCCAAGAATCGCCACATTGGGAGATTAACAAGGGTACTAATAAAGGCAAAGTGTTGACTATGAATCGTGAAGATCTTGAACAAGCTCATGTGTACATCTTGCATAATATGAGAGAAGTTGAACCTTATATGAATGAACACATGTCCCTTGTAAGGGAGCAGAATCCTCGAAGAAATAACATGTGGGTTGAATGTGAGCATAACCGTTCTTTTGTTGAGTGGTTTAAAACTAAAGTTGTTGTTGATAATAATGTATCTGAAACTATACAATGGTTTTCTTATGGTCCACGCATTCAAGCCATATCGAACAATGGATATGATATTAATGGATTTTCTTTCTATACAAAGTTTCAAGATGACAAAAGCACTGTGCAAAATAGTGGAGTGACTTTGGTGGCTAATTCAATGCATTTCAGTAGCTCAAAAGATAAAAACCCTGTCTTGGCAGAATTGGCATACTATGGAGTGATTGAAGAAATATGGGAGATTGATTATGTAAAGTTTAGGGTGTCAATGTTCAAATGTCGATGGGTAGAAAGTAACCATGGAGTTAAAGTCGATGAATTTGGGTTTACACTTGTAGATCTAAATAGGGAAGGTCATACGAACGATCGCTTCATCTTGGCATCTCAGGCCAAACAAGTTTTTTATGTTAGTGATCCATGTGATAAGAAATGGTCTATAGTTCTTCACGGGAAGAAGCAGATTACTGGACATGATGACATAGAAATGAGTGATGATATTGATGAAATCCCCTCTTTTTCTTCTGGAGTAGCGCAGTTTGATGTAGAAAATGAGATAGATGAAGTACATGTTGTACGAGATGATCACCAGGAAGGCATATGGGAAATATGAGTACTACTTGTAATGTTTTTTAAATTTTTTAAATTGTTTTTGCTATTGGTCCAATTATTTTATAAATCAAATACATATATCTTATGTTTTTAATATTTGTTTTCCAAACAGGTAAATGGAAATTCAAATGATCCTTCTGTTGATAGTACTACATAGGGTAGTGATATGACTGCCTTTGTTCGTAAGAAGAGGGGCGTGACTATGATGAGACAATTTATCTCAGCTCGTGGTACTATTGTAGAAAAGGTTGTGGTTGAATTTGTTGGAAAGAGAGCTGTTGGCAAGCATAGAGATAGTTTGGTAAGTTATGTAGAATATTTAGCACGTAGCAACGTCAGTATTTTACTTGATAATTGGAAAGAAGTCCCAAAGGAGACGTTGGAGCAAATTTGGCAAGATATACTGGTATATTTACTTTTAAATTATAATGTAGTATATTTAATAGTATTTTATAGTTTTAATTTTTAATCATTAACTTAATGGATAATTTTGTTTGTATATTATGTTTTAATTTGTAGACTGTTTTTGATATACCCAACACACAA